ATACTGATTCCTAATTCCATATTTATAAATTTTGCGTTCATAATTTTGTAAAATGTTTTCTAAAAAGAGGGCACTGTGATGTGAGGGAATTTAAATATGCTCAAAACATATTCATGCTTGATAGCAGGTGTAGGGTAAAACTAATCTGCCTGAAGATAAGGAACAGACAGCCCAATACAATAGTGGAGCATCGGACCTAGAAAGCAAGCAGTTCTGACACTGCTGGGAGGAAAAAGAGTTCCAGGACTGACAGTGCTGAGAAAGAAGAAAATGAAAGAGAGAATTTGCCTAATATATTTGAATCTCTTGAGGGTTAGCTGCACTTCTGGAGGCCAGCCTGGGGAGGGAAGACTGGAGTATGTAAATAGCGATGCAACTATTTTCACGAGAAAATTAACCTCAATGGAAATAAAATCGTTGTTAAGGAAAGAAACAGAATACAGGCAAAGATGAGGCTCAGATAGAACAAAAAAATTTACACTGTCAAAATAATGTAATTTAGAATAAAAATCTAACCAATAATTGTAATAAAATTATTTTAGAAACATAATTAAAAAAGGAAAAAGAAATGTGTGTAGGAGAGATGGGAGATATACGAAAATCAATGCTCATCTTCCATATCATAAAGCCAGTAACTGGTGCACAACTGAATATGTTATTTAAGAAATGAAAATATATATATAATAGGGGAAACAAACCCTACGAAGGGTGGAAGTCTCTGGAGAACAGGAGTTAGGATGGAAGAGGTTTGGAGCAGTAGGCTACTAATTTTCATTAACAGAGTTCTAGAATTGATGACATTCTGAACTTTGTATATGTATACTTTTAATAGAAACTAGCACATTTACTGAAATAATATTTTGGGGAGGAGGAATAACACAATAATTAAGTCACGTTGTACACACAAAATTCCTTAGACAGTCATAATGATGGTAATTTGTATTCAGTTTCTCAGAGATAAGGAACGGAACTAAAGAGAAATTGAAGATAATTTTATTCAATTCAAAGTGAACCCTGCTTTGTGATATAAAACTTGGATTTTTTCCTCATATTTGTTTCATTTATTAACTAAAACTTTATTATTATTATTATTTTAGAGTAGGTTTAAGTTCATAATAAAATTGAGAGGAAGGTACAGAGATGTCCCATAACTTTTGCACCCACACATGCAGAGTCTCCTCCATCATTGACATATCCCATTACAGTGACACACTTATCAGAGTTGATGAACATACATTAAGACATCATAATCACCCGAAGTCCATAGTTGACATTACAGTTCACTGGTTGTACACTCTTTGGGTTTGAACAAATGCATGACATATATCCATCATTAGGGTATTATACAGAGTATTTTCACTGCTCTAAAAATCCTGTCTACACTTATTCATCCCTCCCCCTCCACCCACTCTGGCAATCATTGATCTTTTTACTGTCACCATAGTTTTACCTTTTCCAGAATGTCATATAGAGTCATACAGTATGTAGCCTTCCAGATTGGCTACTTTGACTTAGTAATACACATTTAAGATTCTTCCATATCTTTTCATAGCTTGGTAGCTCATTTCTCTTAAGATTTACCTTTCTCCTTTTAAAACATTTTATCTTAAAGTTATTTTCAAATGCTTCCAGAGTTGTAAAAGTTTGAATTATTAGTTTTCAGTGTAGATTATTTTACTTGAAAATTGAGAAGTATATCAGAGATTTTTATATAGATGACATCCTGAACTGAATATTAAAAATTTCGCTCATCAGTACTCTCTGTGTCCTCCAAATTTCCTCCATGCTCAATGCCCAGGCTTCCTCCTGTCATGCTCTGTCTTAGTTAGTGACAATATCTTATTTCTTATTCCATCTTGTTCGGAATTTCAGAATAACTTTCAATGGCTCTCCTATCCAAAAAAATTTAACTTTTTTGTTCTTTAACACGTATTTATTCAATTTCTAATTGGTGTCAGAGATATTCCAGATCCTGCGTATTGATCAATTCAATAATTGAATTCTCAGATAGGGTTCTACTCACATAGGGTCTACTCTCAAAATGACTTTTTGTGGAAATGATATTTAATCTGAGGTCTGGAATTTGGTGGAAGAGTGAGAGCAGACATAGGGATAGAGATGACAAAAACTTTGAGGAATGGACAGAAACTCAGTGTTACAATTGATAATGGAGTAAATAAAGAAAGAGTTCAATGGAAGGATGTGAAGATAGACTAGGTAGTGGAGAGCTATACCAAGGCTTCTTTGCCGGCCGTGCATTACCTGCAATTCAACTAGTTTTCATGGTATAATGTTAGCAAAGATGTAGAGAATTGTGAACTAAATTTTAGAGAACATAACTTTATCTTCTCTATAGAAAATAGATTGGATGAGGGAAGGAAGCAAAGATTATTTGGAAGGCTACTACAAGCTACTGTTAAGACCAGATGAGTTGGATTAGAATGATAGCAGTTGTAGCAGACACTGGTCACCTAATCACAAAATATTTCCTGTTTGACACCCTCTAGACAACCTCTGGACAGCCTCTAGATATCCCCAACTTTTTTGCATTCTGCTATATCTGTATAACTGTGCTCTTATCAATGGAAAAAGAATGGAAATTACAAAAGCCACTTCCGTGCCTAACAATATAAATCTCCCATGCAACTCATTACTGTCTTTTTTCCTTCATCTGCCGGTTGACTCTAGATATATGCTGAAGATGGCAGAGTCTTAATCAGCTTGAATCTCTGAATGATGCATAAAGTAGACAGCTCACCCCACCCTCTTAACAACCAAATAAAACCCCTGCCATCCATGCTACTTGCTTAACGTTAAATTTTAAGGAAATAACTTCTCATTGCCATTGCATTACAACTGACAAAACTGATCTGATCCCCTGGAAGAAAGGATAAAGGCTAAGCCTTGAGAGGGATAATGATCAGAAGAGGTTAAGAGCAAAGACTCTGGCGTACTGGTAACATTCTCTTTCTTCATCTGAGTGCTACTTATGAGGAAATGTTGAGTTTGTGAAAAGGGATCAAGCTATATAATATGGTAATTGCATATTCTATATGTATTTTTTACTTCACTACAATATTTTGAACTATCAAATGTGTAGTGTTGCCATGATTTTAAAGTTTATCTGTTATAATAGATAATATTAGTTTCAGTACTTAGCAGTGGAAATGGAGAAAGGTAAAAGGAATCAAAATAAAATTTTATGGAGAAGCCATCAAATATCCTGCAGATTGGATATAGACACTTAAGAAAGTAAATGCAAGCATGTTAGACTCTCATTTGTCTGTCTCAAGAAACTCAGGAATCTTCAGTCCAGATCTCCACGATTTAGATCCTTAAATGGTAATCTCACACCAGTTAATACTTTCTTTGTCAATGATGACATGTCTTTGCTTTCTACATCCTAAACCTGATTGAATCTCTAAATCTGCCGCTCAAGAGGATGGCCTTCAGAGGCTTAATTGAGGTAGGTATAATATAAACCACTGATTGAATCAAAGGTCAAAATTTTACTAATCCCCTTAAGATCTTCTCACAGTATAGATGAGTGAGTTTCATTTTTCTTGTTTGGGATGTATATTTGTCATGGATATGAAAGTTAAGTTAAATTTCCTAAAACTCCTTGTGGTTCACAGCATATATCTACCTCAAAAAGAAGTTTTTGTATACTTAATATTTTGGATTATATACATTTTTCCATGAATAATTGTTCATAAAATATTTTTAACATCTTTGTACAATAGTCTCCAGGGAAATTTTTTCTTTTTTAAAAAAATTGTTAAATTAATTAATCCTCTTGATACCAATAGCACAGTGTACAAAAAGGGTTACTCTTCTTGTAATTTTAAAAACTAGAAAACAAACAATTTTGCTTCTCATGTGGGCCAGAAGCATCTCAAAGTAAAAAATGAGTCTAAACTCTTGTCTTTTTACCAATCAATTCTAAATTTTTTAAAAAGGAAATACATTTATTTTGTATGTAATGCAAAAAATGTGGTACAAATTTAATACAACATTAATTGGAGAAAATTGTCTTTGTAAAAAATGTAAGAAAAATTGAAACTAGATAATTTTCTTGTCGTGATAAAATTTTTGAGCTTACACGGCTTGAGTGTGAGGTGCCGGTGCTAACGTACTTAAGGATGAGAATGGAAGATGGAAGTAGACTGAAGCAATGTAAAAAGCATATCGTTTATGCTACATTCTGAAATTGCCTCTGTTCTGGTACTCATATCAAAATGAAATTGCTACTAAAGACATTAAGGTTTGGAAAAACATTTTCATTTTTATTTTAATCATTTTAATTTTATTATATGAAACTGAACAAAAAAATGATTCATTTGTAAACCATTGAAATATGTTGCATGAAATTAGAACTATATCTTTTACAAAGCAAGCAATTAGCCAACCGTTTTGAATTCATGTATCAATTCATATATGAATTCACTCTTAACTTTATAAGCTGGCAACCTATATAATTCATCCTTTGTTGACTGAAGTTTTCTTATCTTTTGATCTTTAAGAATAGACTAATCTTGGGTTTCAAAAATCTCATTAATGAGTATGAAATTCTTAAATGTGCAGAATACAGACATTTTCAGAAATCTGGCAAAGGACAGAAAAGAAAAGAAAAAATGAAAGTAGTAAAAGAGGGAAGCAAAAGAAATCTTAGTTGTATCATAAATATTTAAATCATTGGGAATGTTTGTGCATTTTTTAACCCCTGAACTGGCATATATGAAGTGTAATAAGTTTAAAATACAATTTAACATATAGCATAATATTCTTCTTAGGGAAAGTATTATCATTCTTTATATATTTTTGGTGACAGACTTTTGGGCTGATAAACATGAGAATGTCGGTGTTGTCTGAAAGAAGATGGATAAACAAGAGAAAAAAAGAAAAGGTTAATATAATTTTGAATTGTGTGCTGAAACAGAAGGAGAGGTTTGTCTTTAATAAGAGAGAAGAGGCAAGGGTACCACGGCAAAGGGGCAAGCATGAAGACCAATGACACTAATGTGAGCTACCAGGTATGTCTAGCTAACATTTTATTTTTAAATACCATTTTTTCTAGACTCCCTCTTCAGTCACTGCAATTAATAAGTAAATTCACGCTACATAACCAATGCAGATATTATTCATGAGGATACACTTTTTATCTGCCTGGGTAAATATCAGAGAAGAGGAAACAGAGTGAGTGAGCAGAAAGAAAATTCAAGTCTTCGGCAAAGGGGAAAACAGAAACAAATGTGGTCATGAGGATTTAAATCTTAAAGAGTTTTCAGAAGTTTGGTGAAAGCATTAAATTCTCACTGTAAGTGGGTTAGAGATGTTTAAGTGTAGTTTATGTTATTTTAAAAGGCCGAGTCCTCAGCTACAATCTGATTTACTGAATAACATAGTCTGCCATAAGGAGGAATACATAGAAAAAGAGAGGTGTTTACCAAAGGAGAATGAGTCACCTGATGCTGTAAAACAAGTTAATATGAACTAAATAGATCGGAAAAAACTGTAAATATGGAAGATACGAGTTAAAATATTATGATAGCTTTTCTGTTTCTTTCTTTGTTTCTATTTTTATATGACATTATCAATGCAATATTTTATCCTTTTGGAAAGCCTGTATTTATGATACTTGAGAAAATAAAAACTCAGAGAGCATCACTGAGTTAGTGAAATTATGAGTAAAAATTATGAATGAAGTTTTATAAGCTGTTACTGCTGACTTGCAGAATATTGGTAGAGGTTGGGTGTGCGTAGCAACATGTTTATGGAGGCTCTCAAGACAATAGGTATTTCATGCAGCCTTTTCCTCTTTAGTTCTCATTTTTTCTTATTCTTTATTTTAATATTTTTTTACAGAAGTCAACCGAGAGAAATCACACAACAGTGACAACCTTTATTCTTCTTGGACTGACTGATGATCCAAAATTACAGGTGGTCATTTTTCTTCTCCTTTTTTCACATACATGTTGAGTGTCATTGGGAATCTAACCATCATCACCCTTACCCAACTGGATTCTCATCTAAAGACACCCATGTATTTCTTTCTCCGAAATTTCTCATTTTTAGAAATCTTGTTCACAACTGTCTGCATCCCCAAATTCCTTGTCAATATGGCAATAGGTGATAAGACCATTTCTTACAATAGTTGTGCAGCACAGCTGTTTTTTACTATTCTCTCGGGTGCGACTGAATTTTTTCTGCTGGCTGCCATGTCCTATGACCGCTGTGTGGCCATCTGCAAACCCCTGCATTACACGACCATCATGAGCGGCAGAGTCTGCAGCTTGTTGGTCTTTGCTTCATGGTTGGCTGGTTTCATAATAATTCTTCCATCACTCCCTGTGGCTCTCCAGCTAGATTTCTGTGCAGCCAACACTATAGATCATTTCTTCTGTGATCTTTCACCTATACTGCAGCTCTCTTGCACAGACACAGATTTAATAGAATTAATGGCGCTTCTCTCAGCCATTTTGACGCTCCTGGTTACACTGATGTCAGTGATTCTCTCCTACATAAACATCATCAAGACTATTCTGAAGATTCCTTCTTCTCAACAGAGGAAGAAAGCCTTTTCTACGTGTTCTTCTCACATGGTTGTTCTGTCCATTTCTTATGGCAGCTGCATCTTCATATATGTAAAACCCTCTGCAAAAGAAAGAGTGTCTTTAAATAAAGGGGTAGCTCTGCTCAATACTTCTTTTGCCCCCATGTTGAATCCCTTCATTTATACACTGAGAAACAAGCAAGTGAAAGATGCTTTTATGCACATGATCGAAAGAATGGAATTTTTCTCGCTGAAGTGAATCACTTTATTAGTGTCATTATGAGTAAAGTAAAACAAAAAGTGTGGGCATGTATCCCAGAGTGCTTCAATATTTGTATTCAAAATTATATTACCTATCTTTTTCTACATAATTTTCATTGTGGCTTGCTTAATCTCAAAAGCCTAATCCTCTCCCATATTTTTCCTTCATGTAAGAACGCATGTAAAAATCTTCCCTGTTTTGGGCCAAAATCCTTTGCCTTTTTGTTTGGTGTTTTTATTGATTTCCTCAAAATTGTCAGGGGGAGACAAAGTTGGACTTCAATTTCCCCATGTTCCTTTCCATTGTTCTGGAATTCAGACATTCAATTTGACATATGTTCTACCTAGAGTTAATATACTACCTAGATTTTTAAAACTTAGCTGAAAAGGACTTATGTACAGAAGCCCACAAATTATCATTGACTGAAGACAAATTACAAAATGGGGACAGACCTATAACTGTTAAAGAAATTGAGTCACTTATCACTATGCCCTTAAGTATTATAAATTTGTTTTCTGTCTGTAAATAGAGATCCTCAACTGATGTTTATCATGGTCTATCAGTAAAAACCAACACAGAACACATTTAAAAAACTATGTTTTCACATTATATGAATATATATTGGTTTATAAGTTATATATTTACCAGAGTATAGAATATTTTGAATATTTTTATAGAATAATAGAAATTAAGGGAGAAAATTAGGCAAAAGACTCTACATATTTTATAATAAAACTTCCAATTTCATTTATTAATTGTGCAAATAGAGATTCAATTTGATCAAACATAATTACTATATTTGCAAATATTGGTTTAATTCTGTGATAAATCATCTGAAGGTCTTATTCCAAGTTTATTTTATGCTGGGACTAAGTTGGCAGGGCTGCCAAATGCAAATTCAGTGCTTCACAGTGACATGCTGATCACATCCATGAAGTGGAAATCACACTAATTATTCTTCTGTCCCATTCAAATTTGTTTTTGATATTGAGCTACTATATTTGGCTCCTCTGATGTTAATTAGCTATCTAAGTTTTTATAATTACATAAATATTTTTGAAGTACACAGAAAGTTTATATTTGGAATATTTTAACAAAGTGTGAAACAGTTTTGCCTGAAGTCTTCCAGTGGGGGAGGAACATTTTCATAATTAATAACACTATACTTTTCAGTAAAAATAACCATATCAATAATTTCAAACAATCAACTTCTAAATTTATTTTTCTTATTACAGCTTTCCTTTGAAAACCGGTTACTTTTTCATTTATTGTTAAAATACCGTCTATTTCAGAACAGAATGATAGGGAGATATCTTCTTGAAAGCAGACTATTAACAGGTAGTTGTTATGGTAGACACGGGAAAATTGGATCCGTCTATTTGTAAAATAAAATTACATATTTCACTTTAATTTGTCTTTTAAAAATATTTTTTCTGAAAAGTTCTGATTCTCTATATGATACATTTTTAAAAATGACTTCCTAGTATATCGTCACACGCTTCCTCCATCCTTCTCTCGTCCTTCTCCCGTTCCTCCTTCCCTCCCCTCCCTCCTTCTTCTTCTGATAACCCTTTAAATGTAAAAACTACTTCTAGATGGAAGGCTGTACGAAAACAAGCCGTGTGCTGCTTTTGCCCTGTGGGCTGTGGTTTGCTTGCCCGTGGTCTTACTTATACCAAAAGGCCAGAGATAGCCCTAAAGCGAGTATCAGGGTCTACTATTTTACCTGACAGACAATGCAAACTACTTGCGTTATTATCTATTAATCCATACAAGTGCACTCACAAATTGATAATTCGAGATTTAGTGCCAGGACTGTTTTGACTTAAACCAAAAAATGGGACATAACTGAAAAGCCAGTTGCAATTGAAGTTACCACCTGATTCAGTCTATGAAGTTACTGTTACCCTGTAAGATTCACCTGTGTTAGGACAGGTAAGCAGTTTAATTGAATGGCCATGTGGAATGGATCGCCACTACTGCATTGTTTTTTAAAATATTTGAAAGTAACACAAAATACTGCAGCTCCCCCTAGGAAACATGCTTTAGTGTTACTATGTGTTACTCAGAGAGAACTCCATGATTTTCTACTTAGCCTTGAGTTTCTCTCTTCTAACAATATATTCAGGATGATTTTTCACATGCAGTGGGATCACTGTAAATGAGACTAGAACATGACGGCCACTGATCAATAAACCTTCCTCTGTTCCCATTATCCTCCACTCTAATAAGTGTATATAGTGGCATTCCATAGTCATTGGAATTAAGATTAGCTCAGAAACGAGGTCAAACAATCCCTGAAAGTTCCAGGTTTCACTCTCTTTAGTGGACAGTTTTCCTGGCAAAGCAACATTTATCCTTTCAGGAAGACTGGAGGGATATTTAGATATTAGTATCAATCATCGCCCTTCCTCAAGGATAACTTCCTTAATCGATTCTGGCTCCATGAACTCACTGAAGTCTTTAATTGGATAAGGAACTCCAAGTGCATTATGATGGATGAATCATTCCTCTCCCCTCCCCCCCACCTGGAGGACTTTCAATTATATAGACCAATTAAGAACTTAATGGATTACCTACTTATTTCAGTCTTGGGACCGCCGTGATCTGTTATCCACTACTAGGGTGCATCATGTAATTTGGATCACACTAACTCTACTGACTAAAAAGTAACCACACCCATATGCCAATGTCAATTAAGCCCTATGATGTAGTCTTTGCCTTTGCATGATGCCATCATGTCTACTAGAATCAGGGAGGTCATTTTAATGAAAGCATGTCCCCCCTTCATTTCAGGCCAGCAGTTATAATACTTTTGAAAGCTGTTAGTACCCCCTTGTGAATACATCAAAACCTCGAAGAAAGAATTCTCCTCTGGTTCTTCCCCAGCAACATAGTTGAGTGATATGTAGGTGGATTGCACATGATAAAACTGTTCCATATCACTATCATTCTACATTGGATTTACTTTTATTCATTAAAATGATTTCTATATTTCAAATTTAATCAAGAAAAATCATTCAAGTCCAAGTTATTATCCAATAGAACGAGAAATTACAGCCACCATCAGAAGCTTGAACTATTCCATTAAATCCACAATAACTAAAAATACATCAATAAATTTACTCCAATGTTAAATTATATTTACTTTTGCTCTGGAATACTACCCTTAGAATCTATTCCCACATATATTCCCCAGGATGTTGTCAATGAAAATTGATGAATTACTACTATTGTCTGAATGTGTCCCCCAAAATTCATATTTTGAAATTCTAACTCCCAAAGATGATGGTATTAGTTGATGGGGACTTTGGGAGGTGCTTAGATCATGAAGGTGGACCCTCATGAATGGGATTAGTGTCCTTATAAAAGAGGATCCAAAGAGATCTCTTTTGCCTTCTACCATGCCAAAATATAGAACAAGAAATCTGAAACCCAAAAGAGGTACCTCATAGAACCATGATGACACTCTTATGTCCGGTTCCAACCTCCAGAACTGTAAGAAATGAATTTCTTTGTATATAAGCCATGCAGTCTCTGGTATTTTGTTATAGAGGCCCAAAGGAACTAAACACTCCCTACAATACTTTTAGCATACAGGTCTTCTCCTTTGAGATTTGATTTTTATTTGACCCTCTCTATCATGCTGGGCATGACTATTTTTTAAGATGGGGGCAATGAATTTTGGTAGGCACAGGTCAAGAAGACACATGGAGCCCACTTTAAAGTTAGCTACCTCCTTTCTGGTCATTATTATTTTAAACGAAGTACCACCAATGTTATAAGACATGAGGGGAGAGAAGAGCATAGCTTGTGCTGTAAATGAATTACTGTCTGATTTTTCCTTAGGAAAATTAGAAATATATGAAATGTCCCAAACATATCTATTTTGATTTTCTCCTAACCCCTATTTCCAATCTATGAACTTTCTCAAGAGAAATCTGGTAAGGATGTAATTTCAACTGAAGTTGCTATTTAGCAACCTGAAAGATCAGAGTCTACCTTTGTTTTCAGCAACAACTGACACAAAGCTATAAAGAGATAAATTTATTTCAGGCAGTCATGAGAACTTCATAGTTTGCTGATGATAAATCAAACTAAGAATTTAAAGCCACAAGCTTGTCATTTTCTTCCTTTAACTCTTCAACGTCCTGTATAGTGCTACAGTGATTGTATTTCACACACTTACCATATTTCTCTGTATCCCCTACATTCAGTGTGAGAAAGGTCACCCTTTAATAAAAACTTCTTTCTAAGCGATGATCTAGGTAATTCTGTCAATACTTGATGCTGTGGACTTCTAATATCCCATCTTCTTACAGTCCCAGCACTGTCTTCAAACTCTTCAAAGTCAGAAAACTAATTTCAAAAATCCTCCTTAAGTGTCAATTTATGCAACTACCTGTGCACTCATGACTGTTGGGTGACAATTCTCCGTGGTCTTTCTACATATCTTGTATTAGCTCTTGTTCTGGATTATTTTTACACAATGTTTTTATATCATTCAGCCATGAAGAGTGAGATAATATCTCTTTCCATTTAAGAAGGCAGATTTCTTTTTCCTGATTAGGATTGTAAAGATAAGGTAACCCCGTTAGGCAAATTGGGCAGATTTGCCAGCAGCTTCTTTAAAATATTGAGGGTTTTCTAAGCTCAACCTCTCTGTGTCGTTTTGTGGGGATTGGGAGGCAAGGGGAACTGATGCAAACACGGAACTCAAGCCATCTGCTATACTGTGAGTAATAATGTCTGTTATCTCTGACTTAGGAGTTTTACACATTCTTCCAGAATCTATGAAACTGTTGGCTGACCTATTGTACCCCTCCCAGTCTGGACAGTTTTCTTGAAGGGGGTGAATTGCTGGAAGAGATAAATTTTTCTGGAAGAGGAAGGCACAGTCCTTCCGTATGCAAAGTTAGGGATCTTTTACTCCTCATATTCAGTTGTGGATCGTCCTGCTGAAGTGCTGAGTGAGGGAATATGAGTTCCCAACCCTC